ATAGCACGCGTACTCGTTGAACCTAGAAAGGGAAAATTCGGTAAGCGTTATCATAGACCACACAGAATTGTCGGAAATATGGATAGGAATAATATTGTATTGGAAGGAAATAACGGGAAATTATTTACCAAACGCGCAGATAAATTGGAACTGGTACATCTGGCCTAACTACTGGTAAAGAGGAGAAAATGGGAATTCGGCTTGTTTGGATACTACTGCTACTATTATCGATCACAAGTTCAAATAGTTTTGATTGGCGCATAGCATTAGTTGTAGACACTAATAAACTAGAGAATGAGTTCCGCAAGAATATCTAAATTTCGACGATATCGTGTATTATACAGTGTAATGTATTCGATTTCCAGTTAAGCTTGAATGTAGCGCTATTCTAAGAACACATTATCTGAAAGAAAAAATTAAGGGAGCCTTAGAAATACAAACGGAAGTAAAAAATTTGGTTGTAGACCATGGTAACGACGGAACAATTTTGGACAATCTTCCAAAGACAATAGTACGCCGTAATGTTTCGTTTGGTTTCATCAACAGTTAGTCGAATGTTATTCGGAACCCTAAGTACGGATGACGCTGAATACTTTAATTCAGAAATAGATAAATTATACGCCGATCAGAAGGAAATTACACAACTCGCCAGGAATCAAACGCACATAGTTATGAGTGATCTTAATAACATACATAAAGTAATCAAAGAAATTTCGCGTAACATTAAAATTAATAGAGATAAAATTAACGAAATGGTACACATTTTGAATGAAGATCATTTATTAAATTATACTATGATGTTAAGTCAATATGCAAATTCAGTTGAAAATTCGCTAAATCATTATATCACAGCTGCACAAAATTTCGTATCAGTAATCACCGTAGCACAGGACGGAAGACTACACCTATCACTACTCAGTAGTTAGAAAATAAAGGCCATAATAAGCGAAATTCATAGCTCGGTAGCACATTATGAAATACCAATACCAAGGAATTACCAAAGGATCGAAGAATTTATGAAAATAGCTTATGCAACCTTGGGACATCATACTGTGAAAATTATCATCACCATACATATCCCACTAGTTGACCGTACAGAATATCATTTATATCGACTTCATGCATTGCCAATACCACAACGTGTAAATGTAGGTTCTAATATTTCGGCTTTTATATCTCCTCGATATCCATATTTAGGACTAAGTAACGATCATAGTATTTATTTTGAAACAACCGAAGCCTTTTTAAGTTCTTGTAAGGAAACCTATTACCAATTTAGAAATATCTTTGTACGAAGCATCGGTATCGGAATCGTGCGAAATATCTCTACTAATAAGGCCAAACAAATTGTCACTTCAATTTTGTAATATTAAGCTTAAATTATCTCACGAATCTTACTGGATTAGATTAAAAACTATTAGAGCATGGTTATACTCAATTAAATAACCCGAAACGCTACATATCTTATGTGAAGATAAAGAAGATACACTACTTACAATCCACGGAACGGGAATGTTGGATATCGAACCGACCTGTCTAGCAAAAACACGCTCTACAATATTGATGGGAACTAAAACATTTACCACTATGAAGCAGTTTTATTATAATCCAAATCTTCTTCTTGATATTAATGAAATCTCTCCGAAAATTTTACAATATCATCACATTGAAACAATTCAAAATATGGACTCGCAACCAACGAAACAATATTCAGCGATCGACAACCGAGAAGTCTCGCGTACGCATTTGTTCGATCGCGCGCGGATGAGCCTCTGTTCTCCGCCCCTGAGCGCGGGCTCTACGGGCGCTGTGATTGGCCAGTGTTTTTCGTTAATAATTCAAAAACGAAGCTTCAAACAACATTTTGGAAAAGGAAAGAGTTGTTCAGAATCACCCCAGCAACCCCCCATTTCCGGATGTTCGAAGAATTACGGGCCACCCTGTATAACTACAATGTTGGCGAATCGTCGGAATTTAATTACCATTGAACACAATTCTAACCGAGAAGCCTCCAGTAACATTTCTTGTACTTATACAAGTAATTCATAAGCGTACACATAACATTGCTCACAACAAAATGCACGTACAATCCGTTGTTGCAACGTATTATACAGTTGGTCTGAAAATGCTAAAAGTATGCACGCTTTAGCAATTTGACAATTGGAATATTAAATCGACGTAAATGAACCTGAATCCAAGGATTTCTTATAACGGAAAAATCATTATTTTACCCTTTTTTAAATATTGAATGGCCTTGTTATAGGTTGTTGAAATCGTAAAACACGCTATTGCATTAAATGTAAGTATAAAAGAACATAACCCGCTTTTTAAAAAAGACAAAAGTGATTTTAAGATCTTCGATGTGCCGTCACCTATAAAAATACTTACAGGGTGAGTCACGTAACTTGTCTACCTCAAACAACTTCTAAAGTATGTGGTCTACAAAAAAGTGTTTTATATACAAATTGTACGGTATTAAAGATAACATATGAAACTGAAACGGTTTTTTTAGATAACCTATTTGCTTACATGATATCAAGGTGACCTTGAACTTTTTAAATGCCTACCTTTTGTATCAAAATTTGAAAGAACAATGAATGTTTTATAAGAAAATATTAAGCTTTATTTATCTTAAATCTAATAATTTGCAAAAACGATGATCATGGTCTCGCTACTCACCTTACAATTAGCTATAGTAGGTGCTCAAAGTGATGCCCATTAACTCCTATACACCTGTGCAATCTGTTAATTAAGGATAGAAATTGTCCACTTTTTTGAAATTCAAATAATTTATAATTTCATATAAATTATTATTTTATTCTTTTATATTTTATAATTTTCGTACAGAAACTTCACTGCTCCCTTAAATTTTGATACCAAATGGTACGTATTCCATTTAAAAAATTCAAGGTTAACTTGATATCACGTAAACAAGCACGTCATTTTAAAAAATCGTTTCAGCATCATATGTTCCCTTCGATATCGTACAATTTCTATATAAAACACTTTTTTGTAGAACACATCTTAGAAGTTATTCGGGGTGAACGAGTTATATGAGTTCACAGATTCACTACTCAGCGTTTTTCCCGTGAATGGTAAGAATTAGGAGAAAATGAAAGAGGAAAGAGTTTTGCAGTTTTCCACGGCCAACATAATAGCTCATATCAATTTTTTATATTTGCTACATTTTTCGAGAAACGATGGTGACCATTAATTTTTTAAATGGAATGCTGCATATTCTTTTGCCATATCGAAGCGTGTATCGAGACGAATTCATCCATGTGCTATATAATATTAAAGGTCACCTTCGTTTCTCGAAAAATATGGCAAATATAAAGAATTGATATACGCTACTATGTTGGTCATAGAAAACTGCAAAACTTTTTCCTTTTTAATTCTTTTCTAGTACCTATCGTTTACGAGAGAAAGGCTGGCTAGTAAATCCGCGCACACCCTCTATAGTTCCATTGATACTGTATAATTTTTATAAATAAAGTTCTTTTCTATTTCCAAAAATAGTGAAGATACATTCAATCGACAATGTTATTACCTTATTCTGTATAAAATTTCACTTCACGTCCGATACATAATTAGGAAAGGCAATAGTTTCTGAAAATCAAAACGGTAATTCGAGCAATAGTCCTGTATGTACATATTTGTATGCTTTTCTAAATCGAGTACAGTCGGTTTGCTTTACAGAGTAAAGTTTGCTAAAATTTTTACAACTTCGTGACAACTATGGCTTCATAACACTGCATGCAAAAAAAGCACAATGACAGCAAAATCAGCTTGGTTATAACTTGATAGTTTCTATAGCTCGGTAATATGTTTCTTTTAAATATAATTCGATACATTAATCTACGAAAATTTCAGATCCTTTCGTTTCTAATCTGACATACAAATTAAACAAACATCTTGGATTATTCGCATAGTTTTTACTATTGATTTAAAAATGCTAAAACTTGCTTTCATATTTACTTCACTTATACATATGTATCTATTTAGCTGTTACTTTTCTAATAGGCTAGCAATTGTTTTATGCGCTTATAAATATTAATGTTACACTGTTATACTAATCAATACATAATTTTCTTCATAAAAATAACTAAAAACAAGCAACCGAAAAAACAAAAAAAATGGAAAGAATTTATGCATTATAATATTAAAAATAATTTAGCTAAGATTATTGTGATCTAACGCATATTTTCTTGGCAAAAACGGAAATATAGAAGACAACTGCTACACTACGCTAAAAACAATTTGTCTGATTTGCTAAAGGATCTAGATTCGATTGTAAATTTATTTGTTACGTACACCGATTGTATACAGGGTGGTCCACCTAAATGTAGCCACCTAAATATCTCCTTTATTTGTGATGACATAACAAATATTTTTATTGCAAATGGTATCACCAGGCGAATGCTTTGCAAATGTTATTTTTTCCTGAGTTTTCAAGGTCATCGATATTTTTTTTCCTGTAAATGTATTTTTTTTTCTTGCATATTTACAAGAAAAAAAAAATATCGATGACCTTGAAAACTCGGGGCAAAAATGACCTTGAGAAAAAAATAACATTTGCAAAGCATTCACCTTGTGATACCATTTACATTGCATTAAAAATATTTGTTATGTCATCACAGATAAAGGAGATATTACCACCCTGTATAGGACCATCTTGTATAAGGGAAGTAATAAAAAAGAAACAAAATGTTAAGTATGTTAGAACTATAAACAACATTCATATTATAATACAGTCGAACAGCATTAAAACAGAAACTAACAGATAGTATATTTCCAATATTATATTAATACTTCTAATATACTATCTATGTATCGATATACATATAATCGCATAAGCAATCAACAAGATACTGTGGAACATCGATATTCGCATGCAGTTTGCAAGCAATTTGTTTCTATTGCAAATTTATGCAAGGAAACAGATACTATAAAATACGGAACCGCGACTTAACGTGACAGTGTTAACAAAAGAAGCGTACATGAGTTTTTTGACTTCGTAGGCGAGATGGTAGCCAGGGTATGTGGACTCCTCTTGCGATCTGGAATCAGAAGGTATTTGTAACGTTGGATTCGTCACAGAAGTCCTTTCCTCGATTTACGAATTGTATAAAAATGAATGGAATGTTTTATTTCGAAATGGTAACAACATTAATGCTTTTCGAATCGCTGTTAAAATAAAATAAAGCACCGAAGAAAGTAGGATGTCGCTGTTTCATAATACGCAATTTCTCTACTAAGAATTACAAAGACATAAATTGATCTGACGCCTGATCCGCGTTAAATCCTGTAAACATTGCTATGATTAACTTTTTTTTAAGTTAGACATTGCTTGCTTGAGAATCTGGAGGAGTAAAAATGTTGGTATTGTGAAGTGAAGTAAAATGGAACTACATGTCACTTTAAAGCTTGCAGACTTTTCAAATTTCAAATACTTCGTTATTATTAAATATACTTTACTCAAAATTACATGTCTTTCAATTAGCAATGTTTTTTCACAAATCGGTAAATATAAAAAATGTATACAGGGTTCTCTATAAGAGGTATTTACAAAGGACATTTGCTTCCTTTTCATTAACGTAGCAGATGGCAATCCATAAATTACATTTTTAGGAAATTTATCTATCGATACGAATTAACAAATGTAACAAAAGGATAGAAAATAACAATTTATTCGTCACACTTTAAGAAGAAATGGGCATAGCAAGAAATTTCAACATCTAAAAACACTGTTCAACGTCTAGAACACGGGAACAAGTAAGTACATATGAGCCTGATTGAAACACTCTGCCTCGTATCCTATAATTTGCTTTTATTTTATTGATAAAAGCAAATTTCGCTCGAAACAGAAGCTATTTGTGTCGTCAAGAAGGGACAAATTGTATATAGGGTGTACCTAAAAACTGGGCCGAGTTATAACTCGCTTGTTATTGAAGATAGAAAAAAATTGTAGAAGGACAACTGAACAATGTGATGAAAAGTGTAAAAAAACGTGTAAGAAAATGTTTAGAATGCAATGGTGAAACATTTGAACATTTACCGTAGATGCTGGGAAGAAAGATAAATATTTTGAAAAGTATTGAGTTTTTCACGAGCTCATCGATTTACATTTCCATAAACTAGTGCCCATCAACATGCTGACAGGTGCCGAGCTAGTTACATCGTGCCTCAGCATTGAACATACAATATCAAAGTTTTACGTCCAGCACCTAGAGCGGGACCCTTTATCCAGACGACTCGGATGCGCCACCCATTGAGATACGCCCACTGAACACGCGACCACCGCCCCTATAAGGATGGACTATCTGTGTTAGAGGGAGTTACGAAGACCCTCGCCACGTTACAGGATTGAACAGAGTGACTTTCCATACTCTACCAGATGTCTATGTAGACTAGTATAGGAGTTGATGGGACGCAGTTTGCCAGCCGGGAGAGGCGTGGGATTTCAGTCTCCCACTCCCTGACTCGAGAAAGGCGGCTCCGCGGAGGGGTATAAAGGGGGAGGAACTCCCTCTCCGCGAAAATGCGAGGACCGCGAGGAGATTAGGGGCGGGGCACCTGGTCCCCTGCGATAGCGGTCCCGGGAAGTGGGCGGTGCCAGGCGTGGTCTCTGGCACTACCGGCCTACGAACGGAGATAAATCGAGAGGAGGTACAGTTACACGGGGCATAAACCAATAGTGCAAGGAGTGCCACGGAGGATATTTGTCAGAGTGGTGATTTTTAGTGAGTAAGAATACACTACCCCCTCTTTTCCCTCGAGGGGTAGGGGTGTCTTTCGAAGATTTTTCACAACGTTAAATACAAAAAGAGCTTATCTGCCGGCCACTTGGAAAAATGGTTACCTAACCAGCAGTTGGCTTCGAACCACTATCCCCGCGAATTTAATACCAATTTTATCAGCTCCCGGGGGTGCAGCCAGAGAAACATCCACCC